TGGTCACCTGTCTGGATACTGGCACGTCTTGTTCCCTGGCCCGAGATATCGCCTCCTCGATGGAACGCAGACACCGGTCAACGTCTTCGGGCGTCTCCGGAAGGACACCGTAGTTGACAGAGGAGTCGACACAGTGTTGGAACTGCTCCCAGCTGACATGATGGTAGTTGCGCCGGGAAGCTTGGATTCGGTAGACGGATGAGCCTACTTCGGCCACCACCGGATAGTGGTCCGAACTCAGCTCCTGATGGGTCACAGGTAGCGAGATGTTGTCTCCCATGTTGTTGATAAAGATGTCTATCGTGGAGTGAACGCCAAATCGGCTCAACCGGGTGGGACAGTCCGGCGCTAATATGGTGTAGCGAGCCTCTTGCAGGTCGTCGTTGAGGATGGTGCCGTTTTAGTTGCGTCGACTGTTGCCCCAAGCCTGGTGTTTGGCGTTCAGGTCGCCAGCAATGATGTACTTTTCGCGCCGTCGAGTTAGTTTGATGATGTCCCTCCGCAGGTCTGCTGCCGACCCGTCCCTGATGGTGACTTGCTTGGGGCAGTAGGTCACATTGATGGTGATAGAGCCGACAGGAGTGGAGACTTCTACCCCTAAAGCTTCGATGGTTTTCAGCTGGAAGCTCGGCAGAAACCGACAGTAGATGTTTATCCTTACAGCAATGGCCACTCCTCCTCTCCCGGAGCTGGTTCGATCAAGTCTTAGAAGCCGGAAGTCAGGAAGGTAGATGTTTACCTCCGGTTTCAGGTGGGTTTCGGTGATAACGGCAATGTCGATGTTTTGTTTGTTGAGGAAGTCAACGAACTCGATGATCTTGCTCTTGAGCGAGCAAGCGTTCCAGTTGGCGATTTTGATGGTTTCACGGTCCATAACTGAGCATGAAGGTAGCCACAGTTTGGAGCTGGTCGGATTTGTTCTTGATGGTGTTGGCAATGTCGTGCATCTTGAGGAAGATGATCATTAGTTCCGCTGCGGTGAACCACGAATCATGGTTGATCTCTGGCTGCGGTAGGGACGGTCCATCCTGACGCCAGTTTAGCCCAGGGGCTGTGGGGAGATCCTGCGGCTATGGAGCAGCGGTCGTCTCTTGGCCTGAGTTTGCAGGGACTCTGGCAGTTTGAACTTGAGCGGTGGCAGCACTGTAATCGGTCGTCGAGGTATCGGTGGGAAGTTCGGGTCATTAATTTCCGGCACTGTCTTGCGGCCAGGCTGTCTTTCTTCCGGATCTCGATGTACTCGGTGCGCTTCCGCCAGGCCTTGCTTGTAGCTTTGTGATCAGCACCGCAGTTGGCGCAAATGGGATCGGCTTCATCTAGTCTGTCGCAGGCGTCGGTTTTGTGTTGTTTGCCACACTTGATGCACCGGCTAACCATATGGTAATTCTTCGTTCCATGCCCGAACAGCAGGCAGTTCGAGCATTGGGTGACTCCACGGTTGACCGGCTTGTACCGCTCCCACTTCACCACAATGTTGAATAGGACGCGGATGCCCTGGAGGTCCATCAAGGTTGTTGAGTTCTTCTCAAGGTGGACCAGGTATAGCTGGTCGCGGTACTTGACAGCCTTGTTGTGGTGGGCCATCTTGTGAATTTGGACCGGCTTTAGTCCATTAGCCACCAGCTCTTCAAAGAGGCCGCCTGTGTCCATGACGTATAGTCCTCGCAGGACCACCTTGAACGGCTTAGCAGCCTCGATGTCGTGGGAGAAGTACTCCACCTGTGCCTGGTCCAGCATGGCCTGAACCGCGTTGTAATGGTTCAACACAGGAACCATATCTTCGCCCTTCGTGATGTAGAAGTTTATTTTTTCCCGCAGTCCGGGAGGGAAGCCTTTCACGTAGAAGGGCGACATTCTGTCCTTTATCGGCGGTCCTGTTGTTATCGTCACCGGTTCTGCACCGTCCTTCAGAACAGAGAACCGATTGTTGTCGAGCAGCTTCTTCGTGGCTGTCGCACTGTCACTGTTGTCTTCAGGCCAAGACCGTTAGTTCTTAACGAGCTTAATTTGCCCGTATTTATACCCTACGCATTTTTCATCCGTTTTCTCATTGGCTGCTAGTTGTGTCGGGATTTCCCCTCACGATGTTTCACGCCAACGAAATTTTACTCAAATTGAGTGTTTCATTACTTGATTTAACTCTTTTTTTTTGATACCTTCAAATAAAGGTATACTTTTTTGTTATTTTTATTCTACTTCATCTACAACACCTTGGTTAAAAGAGCGAGAAGGTGACAGCTTCTCTGAAAGTTCAGAGCACTTGAGAAAAAAATGTGGGAAGAACCTCAGGTATTCTAGGTCTAGAGATCTTCAGGCAAGCTGAGGGACCATAAGGGAAGTACCAATAACTTCAGGAAAGTAGTTAGGACTTACAGAAAAGGTATGGTTAAAGTTCCGGAATCTTAAGGAAAGTGAATAGAACTTCTCTATAGATTAGGAAGCCCAGAGATTTTCAGAAAAGTTTAAAGAATTTATGGACGTTTTCATTTAGTTCTGGACAGTGTCACTAGCTTCAGGAGAATTGTGAGACCTTCAGGGTAGCTTCAAGATCAGAGAACCTCAGGGTAGTTCAAATTCAAAGAAAATTGCAGGAGTTATGCAGAGGTTTCAAGAATCTCAGGGAATTTCAGAAAACTTCAGGGGGGCGACCCCGGCGTAGTGGTTAACATCCATACTTCTCACGCCAAAGTCACGAGTTAAAATCTCACCCCGGACGAGTCACGAATGACCCAAAAGTGTTAAAGTAACTATAATATATATAAAAAAAAAATCTTCAGCAAAGTTTCGAGATCTTCAGGGAGGTCCAGTGAACTTCAGACAAGTTTTTACATTTTTAGGCAGAATTATTATTTTTAGGGATGTTCCGAGAACTTCAAGGAAAATCAAAGGAACTTCAGAGCAGTTCCATTTATTAATTTCAGGATTCATTCCGAGAATTGCAGGAATTTTGTTTATCACAAAAATTGTAGTGTCCACCATTAAACTAAAAAACACGGATCCAAAATATTAAGAATTTTAAAACTGGATGCAGACAACTTTATCCCGTTTTAATTAGAGGCAACACAATTGTGTGTACAATCCCAAGTTAAAATTAGGGGCGCTCCTTAAAGGGGCGTATGGAATTGGAGTGGATAGGGCGCACATATGAAAAATCAGCTCTAAATTTACCATGACAGCACGGCTGACTATGTCTTGAACTCAACACAACTCCCAACCTGTGGGTTTGAATTGAGTTAGCCAGCACTTTCGAGCAGTATTATGACAGAACTGTGTGTCCAATACCAAGATGCCACTTGCCACTTGAAAATTTCCCTCTGCTTCCTTGGTTGGATACTCACCCACACCAAAAATTTCCATGACCATTCGGTCACATGTTACCTCAGCGAAAAACGTGATTCGAAAACCAACAAAAGTGACGGCATCGCATCGACATACCGGCGAGACCTATCAAACAGGCACTGATAACAGAGTGTTCCGTTGTTGTTTTGTCATTGTTTGCCCGGTGAGTCGGAGGACGGTACTGAAACTGGACCCTGCGTTCCGCAATGGCTACCTGCCACAGACCAATTGAATAATAATTAAATATTTGATTAGCTCGACTGGGCCTGCGAAGGAGAGTGAGTGTGATGGCCATTGGGTTGTGATATTTTAAACAGGAAAAAATGTCGGCTGATTATTTTCCATTAACTTTATTCATCATCAGTAATCATCTAAGACAAACATCGACCGTTTGCCAACACTTGCTTAAATTCCTTAGGGTTTAACTAATTTTACTTTTTGTAAATATCTTTACAACTAAATTAACAATTTGTCTAGGTTTGCTTTCCTTGCTTGATGGGATTTACTATAGTAGAGATGTGTCATGATGTTACATGAAGTTACATAATTTAGTGGATACAGTTGTCTTACATTTCAGTTGAAAGGGCCTTTTTCGCGAGAACAATAATTTCGATATCTATGGGATTTGGGGAGAAATTAGCTTTACATATGTCCCGCGATGCATAATATCAGAGATGCCGCAATTCGGTTACCATGGTTTCTGTTTTGTCTCAGATACTGTAGTATTGCTGTAAATATATGCGGGTGTGTGAGTGTGTTTCTGTGATGTATGGGCATGTGATGGTGTGGGTTGCCTATATTTGTAAATAGTGACTTTGCGTCCCTTCTTCCTGCTGTAGCGAAGCACTTTTCCCTTCCCTTTATTGTTCCTGCAACAATAACAACAAACTGATATGGCACGTTAAAAAAAAACTGGTTTCCCGTGTTAATCGCCAGTGGAGTGCGGAGATTGGCTTGTTCATCTGTTATTCGGAGATAGTCGGAAGATGATCCGGAGGTATTGTTCTTTGTTACTGTTCAGTGCTGTCGATTGTTTATTTTTTAAATTTTTAATTTGTGGCTGTTTGGTTACTTTTTTATATAAGAGAAACTGATATGATTGAAACGCTTCGTTTTGGACACGTTTGACTAAGCTAACACCCTTCTTTGTAACTTTTGTTTATAAGTTTATTTACGTGAAATTAATTTACTACTGACCTTTTTTTAAAAATGTAAATTTTCGAAAAATTTGATGCTTAATAAGTAATAACTTAGGTTTCATAGGTTAAGATAAAAAACAGTTTAAAATAAGCACATAACTACGTAATATCAGACGAAAATAAAATTAAATCCGATCAAAACACTTTAAAAAAAAACTCGATAACTAATATCCTCTGCTAATGGCCGTCGTTGCGTGGTGGGTGATTGCTTTCAATTGACATTGAACTTATTACGAACGAACGGAAAACGATATTTACAAAACTAGCAACCAAAGACCAGCCGCGACCTAGACGGCTTGTGGCTCCATAGATTCCATAGATTGCGCAAAGGCCGGCCCTCAAGACATGTATGCATTATACGATTAAAGCGCCTCCCTTCTCGAGTCGAAACGTCGAAAGGGAATAATCTTACACATACATTTGCTATAGCTATGTAGTATGCTTACGAAGTGTTTGTGTTGCCAGTCTCATGATTTAGTTCTTTCCTCCGAGCAGCGCCTGGATCTCGGCATTCGTTTTTCCCTTCGTCTCCGGAACCTTGATGAACACATACAACGTGCAAACAAGCATCCAGAAGCCGAAGAACCAGAACGTCCAATCCGAACCCAGCACTTCCTGCATGGTGCCGAAGGTCTTCGTGACCAGGAACACCAGCGACCAATTGAACATGACCGTCAAGGCCGAAGCCAGTCCTTTCACATCCGGTGCGCAAAGCTCACCCATCATCATCCATGGAATCGGTCCGAAGCCAAGCGAGAAGCTAACGATGAACAGTACAACCGAAGCCAACGGGAGCCATCCGATGCCGGACACATCCGCCTTGTCGTTCTGTAATTTGAAGTACACTCCCAGCACGATCAGGCAAGAACCCATGATGAAGCTGCTCTGCAGCAGCAAAATCCTACGACCGGCCTTATCGATCAACACAGACGATACAAAGGTCATCAGCACCTGGACAACACCGACGACGATACCGCAGATAGCCGGATCCATAGTGCTTCCGGCCGACTTGAAGATCGGAACCGTGTAGAAAATGACCGCATTGATACCGGAGAACTGTTGGAAGAACATCAACAGCAGTGCAATGACCAGAGCGTTCCGATTGGTGACCTTGGTGAACAGGTCGGAAACCTTGGCTTCCCCCTTGACCGCATCCAAATCGGATTGAATACTTTCGACGGCACTCTGTGTGTTGCAGTTTGCTCCCCAGAACCACTTGAGCGCCGCTGCGGCATCACTGCGACGACCCTGAAACGGCAACAAGTACATCAACAATCGCAATCAAGTGGATCAATCAATCGCAACTCACCTGCTTCACCAGATAGGCTGGGCTTTCCGGAATGACCAGCATTGCCGCAATCAGTAGCACCGGGAAGATGGCACACAGAACGCTGAGCGTCGTCCAGGACACATACGGGCCAATGGCGTACACGAACAGAATTCCCACCGTCAGGAACAATTGGAAGAAGGCACCCAACGCTCCACGGATGGACGTTTCCGCAATCTCCGAGATGAACATCGGTGCAACGACGCAGGACGCTCCCGTTGCAATACCGATCACGAACCGACCGGCGTACAGCATTTCGGTACCGGTGGCAAAGATGATCAGGGCCCAGCTAACCAGGTAGGGCAGGGCCAGCGACATGGTAGTGTACTTGCGACCGATCTTCTCCGCCAGGTAGCCGGCAGGGAGGGCACCGCAGAAGGCACCCACCGCGAGGAACGCGCCGACCCATGAACCTGTCAGAGGAATAAATCAATCAGAACAAGCGAAACGTGAGTGAGAAATTGGTGATTAGATAAGCGCGGGGGAGGCCAACACACTTGAGCAGGTGTGTGATAATACATTGTGTTCTGTACGATAGTGGTTAAAAACGGTAGCTAACAGGGGATCACGCTCTGACACTTGAAGCGGATTAGCTTGAAGTCGTTGATTAAATTTGCGCAAAGTCGATATAAGCGCGCAAGTGAAAAAAAAGTGATAAAGGTACAAATAAAGTACCCGTAATGCTGTTTATAAGTCGCAAAAGTATATTCAGAAGCTTTGGGTTTAACTGTGATTGGAAGAGATAGGTACAAGCGTGGATATTGTTTTGAACTTCAAATAAGCTTGAACGGCGATTTAAATTGATATGACACGAAGGAGATTTAACTTCTATAACAATACCCAAGTGATTTGGATCAAATCATACCAAAGTCATCTTCGCAACTTCGAGAATTACAGTATCTTTTATACACGCTATTTCAAAACTACTCAAATATTGGTAGAATCCACCCAGATCACTCAAAACTGAACCTACCCAAACAATGTTGAGAATTGACAAATGGACAACATCGACATGAATCCGATCGACTTTGTTCATTTGTCAACTGGTCACTCCCAACATTGTTTACCAATTTTTTGGTAGATTCAGTTTTGACCGATTTGTGTGGATTCTACCCAAATTTGGATGTCATTTTGCTCTTTTGAGAGCTGTTTGGGGACGCCTTAAATATAACACAAACGTCTTCTATTAGTATAAGAGCAATCCAGGGGAAATGGGTAGATTTATTTTGGAGCATATCAGAAGAAACATCGTTAGGAAACTTCCGCGAAATGTCAGAACAAGCACGCGATGGAAGTATGGAGAATCTTCCGGAAAAAGCCGGAAGTCACTTGCAGGGGAAGCCAGACAGACTGCTAGGGTAATTCGGAAGGAAGTCCCAGGAGTTATTAGAAGAATATTCCAAGGGAAGCGAGTAGAAACAACCCAGAGAGATTGGACAACGGGAAGTTGGCAGACATTTCCAGGGGTAGCTAGAAGGACTTTGGAAGAAACATCCATTCAAAGTCGGAAGAAAAATCCCGGGGAAATAGTGGACAAACTCAGGAGAAATTGAAAGATACTTTTGGGAGAACTCGGAAGAAGCTTCCGATAGAAGCTGGGGGTGCGACACATCTAAATATCAATTTAGATGGTCGGAAAATCTCACGCAAGCGAATCAACTTTTAAAAATCCAACGGGTAATCAACTCTGCACACTGTGCCGAAACACAGCATGGCACAATGTTTGACACGTTAAGGCACACTTTGACAAGTAGGACACACATAATATAATATAAAACGACATCACTGTTGAGTGTTGACGTTTTGCAAATCGTTGCCAAGGTTTCCTACTCGGTTGAATGCGTTGTTTACTCAAAAATGAAGCTAGTTAGATAATTTGTTGTCATACATGAAACTGGTTACCTCTAGTGACGATTTGTTTTCGAATGAAAAATGTCAGACGGTTTTCTTTGATGATAAATTTAGAAGGCCACACCAACAATTTCATTAATAACAAACAAATGGATCACAACTATACGACGGGGATGGCGGAACACCTACAGTATGCTGTTATTCGTACGAAATTAAGAATAGCATGCATCCTACGAAGATCGGATTTAAATTTGGAACGGTGAGCTCGATGGATCCTCACATTCAGTATAGGAATAGTTCACCAAAACTCACCATGACTCGTGAACTTTTCCAACCCTGCTCACATTCTCGTCCACATGCTTTACCCAAAAGCCGCATACTGGAGGCTTTATTCCAGAATACGCTTCTTATTTTTGAACTGAACAATTTGTACTGTCGAAGAGAGTACCAGAGCTGAGCCAAAAGGTTGAGCACGTTTCTTCGGGACCTTCTAGTCTTAAGGGCCACCCACATTAGATCCGTTTGCGTTGCGTTGACGTAAATTTTACAGTTAGACAATAGATTTAGCTGTCACTTTGCCGCAACGCGTCCGATCCGGATCTAATGTGCGTGGGCCTTTAGAGTTACCTCTATGCTATTATTCTATGTAATCCTAAAGCACGGCAATATAGTTTTTAGTGAGACACTTTGATTAGTTTGTAACTTTTTAGTGTGTGGGTAAAAATTGATGAAATTTATACTGAAACTAGCTAAGAGTGTAATGTTTTACACTGGCAGAATTTCATCACAATTGCATTGGACGATCTTCAGAGAAAGATCGATCTCGACGGTAAGATTTTATTTACGGCACTAGAATCGATCCATCGATTAAATCGGCACCAAATAATCGATCTTTGCAGGATCGATCTTTTTTGGGGTCTCCCTTAGGTAGCTCAGTGGGGAAAGACGCAGCTACAAAGCAAGACCATGCTGGAAGTGGCTGAGTTCGATTTCTGGTCTGATCTAGGAATTTTTTGGGTTGGAAATTTCTTGATTTGTACTTACCACACAATTATATTAATGCAAAAATGGTACAGGCATCAAAAACTCCCAATTAATAACCGTGGAAGTGCATCTAGAACATTAAGTTGAGAGCGCGCAATAAGCTTCAAATTGCGGAGAAGAAGTTGTTCAAGAGATTTGCTTGTTTATCAGAAGAACTTATTTAGGAATTCCTTAAATAGAGAGAGGTAAGCAAGTGTGGTCAAAGAATCAGCAATGGAATTAATGCCACAAATGATTTAGATTGTCAAGTTCAATTGTAAAAAATTGTAAATCATAACCCCATATCATGTAATATTAGCTTGATAACATGGAACTACTCGTATTTATTGTCACTTATTTTATATAACATTAGGAGCGACTATGGTGATGCAGATTTTTAGGTTATGTTCATTAAATTTTCCAAATGTTTTGGCATGAACACAAATCGATTTTTCCATTCACACTGAAAAAAAAAATTACATTCATTTGTTTCCTTGAACATCGGAAAGATCGTATAGAAAGATTGAGTTTTCGAAAAATCGAAAATCGAAATGAAAAAGATTGATCTCTCAAAGATCGATGCAAGATCGCCCAATCCTACATCACAATCTGTCATTGTCAAGTGGTTATCTAGATGGCATCGAAGCAAGATCAGATCCGCCAAATAATAATCAAATAACCTTCGTGGAAAATCCGACTGCGTCCCACAGATGATTTGGGAAACACCTGGGAATCCATCATTCGACGATTTCCCGGGTAGTGAAGCCATTCAAAGAGACTCAGACGGGCAGGCTGCGGCAAAAAAAACCGAAGACAGCTGACCCGGTGAAGGCTAGGGACTAGTTGAGTCTGTTCAACCGCCGGTCGAATCTTTCGATCCGCGATGCGGCGAAGAAGGTGGATGTTTCCATCTGGTTTGTCCAAAATACGATGAAACGTGCCGGCATCCACGTCTACAAGGTCCGGAAGGCACCGAACCGGAACGACAAACAAACACAGCTGATGAAACCGAGGAGCGTCGTGATGGACGACGAGACTTACATTGTGGCGGAGACAAAGCAGTTATCGGGGGCAGGAGTTTTATGTTGAAACATCACAGTTGGCTGTTCCTGAGGAGGTAAGGAAGAAGGTGGACAAATTCGCTGTGCGGTATGACAAGCCAAGCCGTACATCACGACGGGTACCATCAACGGTCAAATCTACCGGGACGAGAGCCTCCAGAAGCGCCTCCTACCCTTCCTGCGGTCTCACGGAGGCGAGACGCTGTTTGACATTCTGCCACTACGCGTGGCCAGTGTTAGACTGGTACAGATACAACAATGTTGTTGTTGTTGTACCAAGAGACGTCAACCCACCGAACTCGCCGGAACTTCGCCCGATTGAGAAGTTTTGGGCCATCATGAAGGCCAGACTTCGTAAAACACCTAAGATGTTGGAGAACGAGCTGGCTTTGAAGAAACAGTGTCTAGTTCGTTTATTTGTAAGGCTCAATCGCGTTAGCTTTACGGAGCCGATAATTCATTGTTCTTTGTTTGTACCAAAATTCACTTAATTCTATGCCTAGTAGGAGTTGGGCTGAATACTCGCGGCTTACTCGAGGTTAGAGGGGTACATTGTCGAAGGATAGGAAAAGGGGAGTGTAGAGTACGTAGTAAGGAAGTAATTAAATGAAACTGAGCAATAAAGACTTGAAATGAAAATGATGTTTATGGCATACAAGTAAATAAGATGATCTCAGACCCAACCCAATTGTTAGGAAAAAATATTTCACAGTGATCTGATGACGTTTCCCTAACCCTATGAAAATAATATTATTAGGAAGAAATATTTCTTGGATACAGTCGAGGTTCGACACAAGGTATACTTTAGGTGGTGTAATGGGAATGGAATGAAACGAAACGGTAGAGACGGTTAAGATAAGAGAAAAACTATTTCCGGAAGATAGCATTTTTGGTATAAGACAGAGAGAGGAAGAGTGAGATAGAAACTATCGAGTAAGGATTAGCATCAAGAGGGAAAGAGAATGCGTGTGAGGACAAGCCGACTCATCTTGTGCTCGTTGATGGAACGACATTCTTGTGACGATTTTCGAGGCGAGTAGTTCATTATGGAGGAAGCAGCAGATTTTGGACGCCACAGGGAGGAGCTTGGGGGTAGAGTTTTGTTGTCTCATCAGAGATTTGTCGCCAGTAAGAACTGTAGTGTGGTTTTAGATTCATCTGGAGTTCGACCGGCTATGGTGACCAGTGGGCGACGAAGAGACTCATCGAGAGAAGAAACAGTGGGTAAAAATATCAGAAGAAGTCGGCCCCCCATTGCCCAACACTTTATTAGTGGTGTCAAGGGCAAGGTGAGGGCATTCGCGTATGGAGCAGAGATCCAATAAAGCAATAAAGTAGAAACCTAACTATAATGTTGTAGTTTATTCCCTGAAAGTTTGAAGAAAATCCGATTTTTAGCAACCATTTTCATGTGTCTCTCTTTTTTCGAGTACAGCCTTTAATTAAACTGCCGGGAGAAGTAGGAAGAATCTTTCGAG